AGCTTAGCAACCAGCTCCTCGGCGGCCCGCCCCGCCCCCGCGCATTCCTGGCAGCGCCGCCCCCGCAGCCGGGACCGCGGCCCCAGGCGCCGCTGCTGGTGGGCGCTGCTCTCGCCGTCACGCATCTGCGTCCGGCCCGCCCGGCCCCTCCTCCCGCGGCTGACATTCCCTTTCTCGGCAACAGTGGCAGCAGCCCGGGCGGCCCTGGACGGCGGGCCTCCTGGGTCAGTGAAACCGCAGCCAGATGTCCTCCGAGTTTTCTGGGGGCGCTGGCGGCAGGGCAGGGGGCAGGGCTGCAGGAAGCGTTTGCAAAGACAAGAGGGGGGTGTCTGGAGGTGGAGAGGCCAGAGAGGGGCCGCCTCTGGGGCTGGAGGCGAGGGGCCCTGCGATCTGGAGACACCCGGGGGCCCCTCCTCAACCCACAGATGCCCAAGGAGCTCCTGACCCCCAGCACCCGGGGGTCCCCAGCCTCCCTCAGAACCTGTTCCCCCCTCCACCCCCCACCCCCCCCCACCCCCCGAGAACCAGAGACACCCCTGGCCCTGACCTGAGGGGAGACTACGGCTGGAGGTGAGCCAGGGGACAGGGTAGAGACCTCTGACTTCTTTCCCTGCCTAGAGCCTGGAACAATTCAGGGTCGAAGCAGCCTGGGGCATTTTTCCTTTAAAATAACCAACAACAGCCCTGTGGCTCAGTGGTTGAGCATGGACCTATGAACCAGGAGGTCAGGGTTCAATTCCTCCTGGTCAGGGAACATGCCAGGGTTGTGGGCTCCACCCCGTGTGGGGCGTGCAGGAGACAGCCGATCAGTGATTCTCCCATCACTGATGTTTCTCTCTCCCCCCTCCCTTCCTCTCTGAAATCAATACAAATATACTTAAAATAAAAAAAACCCATCTTGTTTGTTCAAATCAGGACCCAACAAGGTCCGTGCAGCACTGCTCCCACCCGGGCTTGCACGCTGGGTCCTGGGCCTCCGCCAGGTGTTGCCTGGGAGACACAGCGACCCGGGAGGGACAGGGATTCCACACAAACATCCCGCCGCACTGAGCGGGAGTTGAGTTCTAATGGACAACAGCACAGTCTCGAAAAGAGCGAGGTCGATGGTGCTAGAAGCTTCTGTGGAGTTGTACCCAGCTGCTCGATCCCGATCCCCAGTGGGGGGCAGGCAGGAGGCAGCCGATCGGTGGATGATTCTCATCTTTGATGTTTCTCTCTCTCCCTCTCCCTTCCTCTCTGAAATGAATTTTTTAAAAAGAGCTCAAAGGAAGGGAAGTTTGAAACTCCTATTGCCCCGGCAGTGACCGCCGGGCCCCACCCTTGTCCAGAGCCGGTGGGGCCAGGAGCCGGCATTTCTACGGAGCAACCCAGCCCACAGCACGTCATGCAGGCGCCTGTGGCGAAGGCTTGGGAGTGGGTTTGTCCCGGGAACAGAGCAGCGCCTGGGTCTGTAAAGAGCCAAAACCAGTGCCCGGGACGCATGTGGCAGAGACTGTGTGTCTGGGTAGGAGGTATTACTGTACTGTTGCAAGAATGGGCTTGGCACCCTAAGGTGCCACTTGGTGGCAGCGTACCCAGGTGACATCACCAGCCTCGGCCTCTCAGGCCGCCCCACCCAGGCGGGAGGAGGCGGGGTGAGGTGGGACACAGGGGGGTCTGCCCACGCGTGACCACGGGCAGCAGGCTGGGCTCTGGGCTCCCTCGTGGCAAAGAGGTGCTCCTCACACCTTTATGTTCAACTCACCTGGGGGACCATTTAAAACGCGCCTTCTGACTTGGAGGTCTGGGGGGACCCCCAATGGTGCCTCTGATCTAGCCCCCTGGAGAGGCGGTGCTGCTGGCCAGGGACCACGTTGGGCACAGCTCGGCTCCCTGGGAAAAAAGCCTGCAGGTGAGCAGTCCTGTCACTCCAGGCACCCAGAGCCCCGAGCAGGGCAAGCTCCCAGCCAGGCTCACATCCGGAGGGCTTTCGGCCCCAGGGAGGCGGGGGAAGAGCAGCGTGCAGTCCATGCGGGGCGGATGCCCGGGGCGTTGCCATGGAGACGGGAGGTGCTGAGCTTTGGATCCTGTCAGAAAGGCCAGCAGCATTTCTTCTCCCCCAGAGCACATGTCCGAGCGCAGAGGCGAGCACCTGGCTCCACTGTGTCCCAGGGCAGTGGTGTCATCTGCTAGCTGCGCGGGGCCGGTTGGGAGGGGCCCAGGGCAGGGATGGAGAGAGTCTGCCTGTGCCAACTGCTGGGCTGGCACATCGGGAGGCTTTGTGGGGGGCGGGGCTACACTCCCAGGTGAGAGGCAGCCACGGAGCAGGATCAGGTCCTGAGTGTGGGGGGAGATGAGCCTGGGATCTCGGAGGTGGGGGGGCCACTGCCCACCATCGCCTTCAGCTGCCTTCAAAGGGAGGAGCACCCAGGAGGGAGTCAAAGGAGCATTCGAGGCAGTGACCTACTCAGAAGGTCAGGTCAAGGTCAAGGTCAGCAGGGAGGCCAGGAGGGCTCCACCTCCCGGCTGAGCCAGACCCGGGGCCTCACCTGTGAGGGGCACTCTGGTGCCAAGCGGCCTGGAGCTGTCACGCCGCTGGGCCTGTGCGTGGGGGCTGATGGGTTGTGGGAAGTAGGGCAGTGGCCGGGTGGGCAGGAGGATGGGGGTCCCTGTTAGGCGGGGGCAGGGAGAGCAAAGGACATGGGAGACGGGAGGAGGGACGAGGGCAGCCATCACACACCCCTCCAGGTCCCCACCTTCTAACAGCGTGCCCACACCGGCCTGCCCCTCTCTAAAGGGGCAGATGCCGGGAGAAGGCGGATTACTGACAAGGCTGGAGGCTGTGACCGGGTGCTCAGTTAGCGTGACCCAATTCTGAGCTATTCTGGGCCTGGTGGGAACAGAATAATTCCCTCCCGCTGATGCCACGCCTGCAGGCAGCCTGACTTTGAAATGCCCTCGGCTGGGCACAGACGCAGTGTGGGGAGGATGGCAGGGCTGGCGAGGCCCGGCAGGCCCTTACCTGCTTGCTGACGACCCGCTGTGCATGGTGCCTGCTGGGCAGGGAAGGCCCTGCTGACACCCACCCTGTGCTGTGGCCACACAGCTTCTCCCTACAACCTCAGGTTTCTCTCATGCCTGACTTGAGGTTAGGCCACATACCAGAGGCTTGAAAAGTGCCCCATGACCCGACTTGTCCTTAATAGCTGAGATGTGGACAGACCAGCGTGCACAGGCCAGGCCCAGGCCCGGAGGAGGGGCCTCCAGTCAGCTCAGCCCCCACTCGGGCCTGGCTGAGGTTGGCCAAGAGCAGCCAGGCCACAGATCTGAGAGGTTCCCCGAGCACAAGCTGAGCCCACATGAATGGAATAATCTCCCAGCGCCATCATGCCGTGCCAGAGGGCGGCTGTGACCAGGCAGGCATCCCGAGGGTGGAGTGGGGTCTGGCTGCCTCCTGGTGAGGCCCACCTGAGTGTTCCCACCCCCTTGCCAGCACAGGCCCAGCCCCTGCCCTTGCTCTGCTCCCAGCATGCACTTCTCCCGACTGCCTGGGCCCAATGGGTGACCTGCCTGAGGATCCCAGCTCACATCTTCCTGGGAGGGCCTCCTGCTCCCCCCACTCCAATTTCCAGCAGCCCCCAGACCCGCCTGGCTGCCAAGGCCTCTGAGTCTCCGGGAATCCAGCAGAAACCACTCCCTCTGTCTGTGGTCAAAGCCCGGGGACCTCACAGGGCAGGAGTGTGTGATATGGGAGGCCTGGTGGGCGGGGCCTGGAGCCCAGTGAGTCCAATCTCCTCTGTGCCTCAGTTTCTCCCTGTGCAGTGGGCAGGAGCATCCTCCCTCGGCCTGGGCTCTGTGCTAACCACCTGCTCACAGCCAGAGGCAGGAGAGCAGGTGTGGCCTGGAGGACAGGCAGGAGAGAGCAGTGCAGCAGGGGCAGGGGCTGAGGGCCAGCCTGGGTGGGGCTTCCTGGGGAAGGCGGTGGGAGCTGGTGTCCCTGCAGATAGACTCTGACTCTGGCCTGAGGGTGGGATCCTGCCCGGGCCCTGGGGGCAGTATGAGCCTCAAGGGCAGCGGAGGGAGCTGGGTGTGGCGCTGGGCCACTCCGCCGGGTGGGGCAGTGCAGAAATTTCCAAGGAAAAGCAGGGCCACGCAGTGTCTGGGCGGAGAGTGGAGTTACGGGATGAACCCTCGCCGTGAGAGTGGAGTTACGGGATGAACCCTCGCCGTGTGACCAGCCCCATGCTGCTGACTCAAGGTGACCGCCCCTGACCTGACAATTGGTCACTCCCTGGCCCTGGGGTGACCACGTAGCACAGCACGGGATGCGGGGAAGTGGGGGCAGCTGAGCAGAACGCTCCCGCTCAGGCACCCAAGAGCCTTGCAGGTGCACAGGAGTCGGCCCGGAGCTGAGGGCTGGAGCCCAGCGGCAGGCCCCGGGTGCTGGCCCCACAGCCAGTCCCCAGCTGGGCATCGGGTCTGAGGTCAGGGCAGGTCCTGGACACGGGCTAAGCCCCTGGGAAAGGGTGCTGGTTCCAAGGACCCCGAGGGGACAAAGGTCTCCCCGAGACTGCACAGCATGTGGTATCGGGGAAGCCACCAGCCTCCGGACAGACACTAGGAAACTGCTCCTCCTGCAGGTCCTCCTGGCGCTAAGGACCCACAAAACCTGGGGATGGCCTCAGGTCAGATGGCAGGTCTCCGGGGCCCTTCAGGGAGCATGAGACACCAAAGGATCTCTGAGTGAGAGGCAGGGGGGCCTGGGGGAGGGGTCAGAGCTCTGGGACACAGTGGGACATGCTCTCTCCTCCCTCCTCCCCACCGGTCCTGGGGACAAGTGGCCCTTTTTGCAGCCGGTGGGGGTGGCCACACACTCGTCCTTTGTCCCAGTCGTCCAGGGCCCTGTGGTGCCTGCTATGCGACAGGAAGCATCAGGGCGGATGGGCTGCGTGCGGAGGTCCAGCCTGGGCGCTAGTGTGGGGGAGGGGCTCCGGCCTCCAGGACACAGGACCCAGTCAGTGTGCAGGGCAGGGCGCGTGTTTATTCTCCACCAGGCGGGCTGTGCGCATGGTCCCAGGGCTGGAGCAGACGCCAGGCCCGTGTGCAGGGGCAGGGATGCCAGCCACCTGCCAGCTGGAGGCCAGGTCAGGCAGGTGACGTGTGCCCCGGCCCTGGTGTCCTGCCCTCCATCCTGGGGTTGAGCAACAGGGGCTCCTACGGTTCCAAGCCCGGCTCCTAGGTGATGGAGGCCATGTGTCCCGGAGCAGAAGGCAGCTCCGAGCAGGCAGAGGAGGCAGGCGGGGCTGTTCCTGGGACAGACGGACAGGGTGTGCAGCAAACAACGGAACAAGGCGGGGCCGCCTCTCCCTAGTGGCTGGGCCAGGCTGGCCCACCAGCGCTGGGGAGGGTGGGCAGGGTCCAGGGTAGGGTTCATGGGAGCTGGGCCTCGGGGGCCGGGGGTCCACTGCACCAGGCGACAGGAAGCATCAGGGCGGGTGCTTCCTGCCCCCCTTCAGCCTCTGCTCCCCCACCTCTTTCCCTGCCTGGGGCCCCCACCTCATCCCTGGGCTCGGACCCAGAGGAGCCCGTGGCTATGGGGCTTCGAGAGGCAAAGAGCAGCAGCTGGAAGGGACACTGGGCTGGGTGGAGGCCCCCCTCCCCCAGGGCCCCGAGGAAGCCCCACCCCACCATCTGTCTAAACAGGCCCAGCAGGCACCCGGCCATATAAGGCGGCCGCAGCGCGAGCCTCCCTGCTGGCCCAGGCCACCCACTCCTCGCCCTCCTGGCGGGCAGCCCGCTAGTCCGGGGTCTTGGTGGCGAAGGTCAGGTAGCCAGTGTGGCCCACGGCCTCCTTCATGGGTGCGCCGCTGCGGAAGGGGCCGGCGTCAGAGCCGGGGGCGGCACCCAGGTCGGGCGGGGGCAGGCTGACGGTGCGCACGCTGTACACCTGCGGCAGCACCTCCACGGTGCTCAGCTCCGAGAAGCCGCGGGCTGCCAGCGCCTGGCACGTGCGCTGCACCTGCTCGATGCATGGCGAGAAGGAGCAGAAGCGCCCACCTGCGGGGAGGACACGTGTCAAGGGCAGGGAGCCGCCCAGGCCGGCGTCAGTGGCTGGGACTGCAGGGCAGGCCATTCCCCCCCCTGCCCCCCCCCCCCCCGGTCTCCCGGGAGTGGGTGCTGATCAAGAAACCCCAGTGTGAGCGAGGAGGGTGGGTGCCCAGACCCTGCCATGGGGTCTGAGGCTGGCCATGTGCTTAGGCCATGAACAGCTGAGGTCAGGGGCCAGGGCAAAGGCTGGGTAGGGAGTTAGGTAGAGCCTTGGCATCCCAGCTGCCAGCTCATTTGGCCCAGAACAGCTCTAACCAGATGGCCTTAACCATGCAGCCCTAACCACACAGCTCTAACCTTACAGCCCTAAACAGACATCCCTAATCATACATCCCTAACCACACAGCTCTAATCTTACAGCCCTAACCACACAGCCCTAGCGGGTGAGGCACTGGGTCCCAGGAAGCCAGAGGCTGTCCCAGCTCCCAGGAACTGGAGGCACCTCCTCTGCGTAGGGCAAGAAGCTGAGGATGAGGGGGTAGGGGTGGGGGTGGAGATTGGGGGGTGGGAGTAAAAGCCTCTTTCTGCCTCCCTCTGGGGCTGCCTGCAGTGCCCCTCAGCCTGCCCGGTCCCAGTCCTGCGGAGAAGGTTCTGGAAGCCAGGGTGGGAGGAGGGGTGTGGCCCAGGCAAGCCTTGGATTGCCTGTGCGGCCTGGTCACCCACCATACCCGCACCCAGGAAACTTGTCTCCATCAGGGCTGCAGTACCACCACCAAGAGGAGACCCTACCCCTGTGTTCACTGCCAGGGAAACTGAGGCCCCACAAGGCCCGGGGCCTGGAGACTGGGGACCACCCGTGGCCGGGCCAGGCTCCCAGCGGGCAGGTGAGCCCAGAAAAAGGCCAGAGAGCCTCTGGGCCCAGAACAAACAGCAGAGAACAAAGAGCCCAGAAGGGGCCTGAGGAGCAGAGGGAACAGCAGATGGCGCGGCTCCCAGCTGCTGCTAGGAGTCTCGGCAGCAAGGAGGCCACGGCTGGGCAGCCGGCTCCGGCCTCCCCGGACTGGGGCCTGGACCCCCAGGTGCCCTGGAGTGGGGTGGATAGAGAGGGCGCAAAGCGGGAGGGCGGAGCCAGGGGGAGCCAGGGCTGTCCCACTCCCCGCCCCAGGCCACCTGGGCAGCGACCAGGAACCTGGAGTCCAGGGTGAGCCTGAGCCAGCAGGCGGGGGCCATTGCTACCACCCTGCCGTGGGGGCCGCCACATCACTGGGGGGCCACTGCCCTGCCGTGGGGGCCACAGCCTTGCCGCGGGCCTTGCTTTCCGAGGAGCAGCCCTCCCTGCAGCTCCGGCTCAGCGGTGGGAGGGAAGGGGCTGCTACCCCAGCCGCTCCTTCTCCAGAAAAGGGAAAACCCAGGGCCCAGCCAGCGCCTCCCTGGCCAGGAGCCCACTTCCGCCTCCGCGCCAGCTTCTTCCCTAAAAGGGACCAGATGCCTGGCTGCTGGCTGGGGGGAGGGGCAACTCCGACTCTGCGGGGAACCGCTGGGGTCAGGGGCTGACCTCCGACCCCCAGCACACCGGTGGTGCAGGTCCCCCCTCAGGCAGGGCTGCCACACTCCCCAGGGGCTGAGGCACCCCCTCCTCGGGTGGGCACCCAGTCTGACTCTTGCACCCCTCACCCGCCCGCCAGACCTCCGAGGCCATCCCGCCCCTGCCGTGTGGCCTGGTGACTCCTGACCGCTCTGGGCCCAGAGCCAAGCCCCCAGGGCGCACCCCTCCCAGCACCCCACACACCTTCAGCCTTGAGGGCGTCCCAGGCGTGGCCCACGGCCTCCCACGGCGACGGGATGTCCAGGAAGACAGCGTCTGCCACGTGGCTCACGCCGAAGCCGCTGCGGCACACGTCCTGGTTGCGCACAGTCACCCAGCGGCTCAGGCGGTGCTCCCGGAACTCCTCCCGCGCCTTCTCCGCCCGCTGCTGGTGGAACTCCACCGTGTGCAGGTGGCCCGTGGGCGCCACGGTGCGGATGATGGCGTGGGACACAGAGCCGCTGCCCGTGCCTGGGGGACAGGACAGTGTCAGGGGGGACGGCCGGGTCCACCCAGGAAACCACCCCAAGAGACCCACAGAGGGCCCCCAAGGTCAGCTGGCCTGGGGTACCAGTGGGCATCCCTCGTGAGCTGCCTGTCAGTCCTGGCTGCCCTCTGACTCCGGCTGGAGGAGGGGTCAGCAGATGCCTGCCCTGCCCGGTCCTGGGGCAGGAGCAAACCCACTGCCCGGCCCTGGGGACAGCGTGTTGGGAGGGGCTGGGGCAGAGCAGACAGAGCAGCCTGGCTCTGTCCCATCGCCTTCCACACGTGGCTGGTCCCGGTTCCTGGAGCTCTGGGCTCACCACGTGGGTCCGTCCTTCCACCCAAGCTCCTCTGCCCGCCCCTTGTTGCCCCTGAGTCCCTGATACCGACTCCCCACAAGCTCCCCTCCCCGCCGTGCACCGCCACACCTCCTACCCTGCAGCGCCAGCTGGCCTGTGTCCCTCGCCCCCTGACCCCCCCACGTCCCTGGGTGCAGGTGCCACCTACTTGATGACAACGCCACAAGCATGGCCCTGCACCCGACTCTGACCTAGCACCTAGCGTCTCCCGCACACTTGCCAGCCACCTCCCAGCTACACCCAAACCACGCCTGGCACTCATGGTGCAAAGCTGGACCCGATCCCACACCAAGTTGGCTCCCTGCCAAGCCTTCCACACCCACTGACTCTCCCCTCCCCTACCCACACGGATCCACCTGGAACACCTGGAACTCCTGCCTCGCCTGCCTGCCCCGCCTGTCACGTCTCTCCCAGACCCACTGCTGGTCCTGTCCCCACCTGCCCACCGAGCCGGGGGCCCATCCCTCTTGGCTCAGTGACAGCCACCAGCCTGGCTGCCTGCAATCGTCCCAGCACTCCAGGAACCGGGGCTGGGGTGACTCGGCACAAACTGGCCGCGCACCCCTTCCACGCAGGGTAGAGTCAACTCCTCCTGATGATGTGTGTGCCGCCCCCCCACCCGTAACCCCCCCCTCGTTTCTTGCTCCTGCCAGGCTGGTCTCTGTGCTGCCTCTCACTGGGGGCCCCTGCTTGCTCTCCCCTGGGGTGACACTCTCCAACTCAATGTCCCTGCTGCAGAGGTCCTCTCTGACCGCTGCCTGGAGGCACCCGAGTGACCCTCAAACACGCAGCCCTGCCTTACAAGCTCAAGCAACCCACGCACCGCAGTGGTGCCGCCGATCCGACCACGGTCCCTCTGAGAGGCAGGACCCGGGTCTGCCTGGTCCATGGCTGTGCCTCCAGGTCCTAGAAGGGGAGCCAGACACCAGAGGAGCCCAGAGCGGCCCACTGGCCGGCCCTTCTTCCCCGAGAGCAGCGGGCCCCGGACAGGGTGCAGCAGGGCCGAGCCCGCACCGAGTCCTGCTGCTCGCCTGCCACGGCACCCCAGTGCCTCGTGCTGGGCGCTGCCTCTGCCCGGCCCCCACCTCTGAGCCAGAGCCTAGCCCCTGCCTATTTCAACACGTTTGGCTGCGCAACAGGGAGCATGCGGAGAAGCCGCGGCCCAGAGAGGAACGGGTGGCCGGAGGCCCTCAGCAAGCTGGCAGCAGGGGCAGCAGGGCCTCTTCATGACCCGCGACCCCGTGTCCCAGCCCATAGGGAGCCTACTAGAAGCCTACGGCCCCGGGCGGTCCGTTGCCAGGCTACAGGCTTCAGTCTCCACCCCAGGCTGGTCCAGCGCCCCTGGGCGTGTCTGTGTGTGAAAGGCCTGAGAACAGCTGGCCTCAGGCGCTGTGCCTGCACCCGGCTCCTGGGCTCAGGTCCATGATGCCCTGGGAACTGTGCCTGGGGCAGGCTCCCCACCTGCCCCAGCATCTCCAAGTAGCCCTGGCCACCCTCCACTTGCAGCAGCCGCGGACTGCTGGGCCAGCCCCCCTCTGCCCTCTGCCAGCACAGGGTTAGGGAATGGCAGTCAGTACCTTGGTCAGCACCAAGGGGCACTGTGGCCCCGCTGCAGCAAGACAGGCAGGACCCTTCCTGCCCCCTCCCCCCCATGCCTGCTCTAGTCCCCTCAACTCCCACTCAGTACAGCACCAGCTTCCTGACCAACCTCCCTGCTTCTGCCCTCACTCCCTGCAGGCAGCCCCCCCGAAAGGTCCTGTTTAAAAAAGAAGTCAAGCCCGGCTCGTGTAGCTCAGTGGTTGAGTGTTGACCTATGAACCAGAGGTCATGGTTCGATTCCCGGTCAGGGCACATGCCTGGCTTGTGGGCTCCATCCCCAGTTGGGGGCGTGCAGAAGGCAGCCGATCCATGATTCTCTCTCATCATGGATGTTTCTCTCCCTCTCCCTCCCTCTCTGAAGTCAATAAAAATAGGTTTTCTAAAATCAGAGGTCAAGGAGCCAGTGTGCCTTCAGGAGGGAGCAGCGGCCCTGTCTGACCCCACCACGGGCCATTTCTGAGGCGGCGCGATGCACGTGCACTCACCGGACTCACACACCACAGAGCCAGGCCGCAGGTCCAGCATCATGGTGAGCAGGGCGATGTCAGTGGAGTAGAGGATCTGGGTGCGGTGCGGCAGGTTCAGGGTCCAGAGCTCGGGCGTGGGGTGCAGCACGTACACCCAGCCGCCGCGGCCGCAGGTCACCTTGGAGCCGAAGGGGCGGCCGATGAGGTCCACCGAGTGCCGCAGGACGCCGTGCCGCGTCTGGGTCTGCGCCCCGCGCTGCACGCTCACCGCCACCATCGCCCCGTGGCCCAGCGACAGGATGGCGGTGTCGCCCTCCTTGATCAGCTCCTCGTAGCCCACGAAGCTCATGGTGTGGCTCTCGGCGGCGCCAGGGACCTGGAGGAGGGATGGGGCGTGAGCGCGTGCGGGGCCGGGAGGCGGGACGTGCGCGGTGCGCCAGGTCCCAGGCCACCGGGAGGGCTGGCTCAGGCCCCGCACTGTCCCCCGGGCGGCCCACCCCCTGGCCGACAAGGACCCCTCTGGGGCGGGCGCGTGAGCCGGCGGCCATCCGCCCAGAGCACAGGGAGAGGCGGGCCAGGCCCGGCCGGGGTTCCCATGACGTCAGGGCCTAACCCGCTCGCCACGCTCCGCGGGAAACGGGCGCCCACCCCCCGGTGAGCGCGGGCGGCTGGACCCTGCGGACCCCTCCCCAGAGCACAGGGAGAGGCGGGCTCCGGGGCGGGCGGGTGGGCTCCGGGGGACGCGAGGGCCGCCCGGCACCGGTCTGGGCGGGACCACGGAGCCGGACGGGCGCGCGGGACCCGGGCCGACCCCCGCCCGCGCACGGCCCCGCGGACGCTCACCCGACGCCCCGCCGGCTGGGCTGAGGGAGGGTCCGCACGTGGCTCGGCGACCGCGGCACTTCCGGCTCCAGCCGGGCGCGCGGCGCCTGCCGATGACGTCACGGCGCCCGGCCGTCGCCGCGGGGTCGCGGGCACGTGGCCGGCCCCGGCCGCCGGCTTCCCCTGGGTGCGACTCCTGTGTTTACACTCGCCCGTGGGACACAGGCCGCGAGTCGCACGGTCCCCGCAGCCGGCGCCGCGCCCCCGCCCCGAGGCCGCCGCCCTGTCCCCCGGGCGGACACGGGGCGTGGGCAGTCGGAGGGTCGTCCGGAAGGCCGGTCCGGGGTCAGCCAGGCTGCGGGAGCGGCCGGCGGGTCTGCGCAGGGGGAGCTGGGGGACCGGCTGCCTTTGGACGCAGTGGGGACGGCGCCAGCGGCCCGAGCCAGGGCCGGGGGAGGGGCAGGGCCGGGAAGGCGCAGCCTCGTGCCTCCGCGGCTGATTCAGAACCGGTTCCTCCTGCGGGGAGGGCGGGCCGCGCTGGACTGCCGCCCGCGCTCAGCTCCCGGCGAGGAGGGCTGTCCCTTTAGCCCTGGGGCTGGAGAGGGTTGGCGATGCCCTCAGCTCACAGCGACCCTGGGCTCAGCCGGGGCCCTAACCTAGGCCACACTTCCCGGCCGGGCTAGTCCAGCCTGGCACACGGGAGCGGCCAGGCCCCGGGAGAGCCAGCCCCGCCCAGCCTTGCCACCCTGTGGGGCTGCTGAACTCTCCCTCCTGAGGCCAGGACTGGCCAGTCGGTGGCCCTCGGAGTCCACGGTGGGAACCCAGGTGCCCTAGCGGGGCCTGGGCTCCCCAGGGATAAGGTGAGGGGCTGCTGGCCCCCCACGCTCTGCGGGTTCCTGTCCCTGTGGGGCCAGCACTCCGGCCGCTGGCTGCCTGTGGCTGCTGCATGGCCTCCCTGCCTCCTGCTCTCAACGTGGAGCCAACCAGCGCCATCCAGGGCCCACCCTCTGTTCCAGTTGACTCTGCGTTGGCCTCTTGCACCGCCTGAGTCACTCCCTAATTGCTCCCCCGAGAGATCTGGATTTTCCACTTCTCCTCGTGAGTTCCCCTTTCCCCAGCCACCCAGCTGTGGTGTGGAGCCCAGGCTGGGCGCCTGCTAAGCCTAAATTAGGACGGGGTGTTGGGGTGTTTCCTGTGGTCCTGTCTCCCCACTGCCTCTGGCGTTACTGGCTGCCCCCTCCTCCAGGCAGCCTTCCCAGGGCAGCCCATCTGCTCCATCGCAGCGGGCCCAGCGCTCAGCCGCTCAGCCGGAGTCCTCCAGCACTGGCCTCCCCCGCCCCCACCCCCACTTCCACCCCCACCCAGCTGATTCCCCAGGTCAGGTTGGCGCCTGCCCCCCGCAGAGTTTGTATATAAGGGAGGGACCACTTCACAGACGGGGAGAGCAAGACTCAGGGAGGTTGAATAACTTGCCTAAGGTCACAGTCAATGCAGCCAAAGTGGAATTGGGATTTAAAGCCAGTAAACTTGGCTGCAGAGAACGAATGGCCGGCAGATCTGAAGGACGATGGGAACAGGCAGGAAGGAAACCCGGGGGAAAGGGAGAAGCTGAGGATGCCGACGGGGGAGGCTGACCTGCCCACGTCCTGGCAGGGCCAGGTGAGGCAGGTCCCTCTGACCAGCCCAGCCCAGCCCAGCCGCCCACTGTGCTGACTCCATGGCAGCCCCGCCTCTGCTGAGCACAGCCAACTTCCTCTAGGTCCCGCAGAGCTGAGTGCCAGGGCGCAGGGAGGAAGCAATGGCGGCCCTGGCTGCTCTGACTCGGGCTGCGAGGAGGGCCGGTGCCCAGCCCGGCCCTTGCAGCTGGCCGGCCCCCGCCTGCCCGCCATCGGGGCCATGGCCTGTGGATGAGCAGGGACTCCTTCGAGGCCCCTCCCCCCCGGGGCTGGTGGTAACCAGGTGTGATTCTGAGGAACCCACACTGTAAACTGGCCAGGTGATGTCACCTGGCTTCTCTCCTAGACGCCACCAAACCGGCTTCTGTGGGCCCCGGGGAAAGCGGAGGGTCCGCAGGTGAGAGCGAGGTCAGCAGGGGCTCCCCCACCCCACACCCTGCTGCCCTGCTCTGGGACCACCAGGCCTCAAGCAGCCCCGCCTGGTGCCTGGTGCGGGGCCTCCCTCACCTTGGCATTTGGGTCTGAAGGCCTCAAAGTTCCCCTCCCCTTCCCCTGCCACAGCTGCTGACCCCCTCGCCGCCAGAGTCCAGCCCAGGGTGGGTCCCGGCCCGGTTGGCACAGGGCAGCCACTCAGGTACTGAGGGACTGCCGGCCCCGCCACCCACCTGCTGGTCTTCCCCTGCTTAAGTGCAAAACTGGACAGAATACCCAGCCCGGAGGTGAGGGTGCCAGAGCCCAGGCGGGCGGTCCCGGGCGGGGCTACCTCCGTGTGGACCTTGCCTGTGCAGGGAGTCCTTCCCTCTCCCCACCCCCGAAGTGGCCAAGCCCTGGGCGGCCTCGGGGTGGGGGAGGGGGCCTTCAGAGCCGCTGCAGAGGCTGAGACAAAGAGGAAGCCCTGAGGTCCCCCCCCCCCCAACCCCGTGTGTCTGAAAGCCAAGTCAGCCTCGCGGGCCAGCAGCTCTGGTTTCTAGAAACAGGAACCTGAGCCCATCAGGCCTCCGGAGGCGGGGAGGCAGCTGCAGATATTTCTGAAACTGGGGAAGGGGCTGCAGGAACCCCAGGCTTAAGGGACACCGGCTGTTCAGCCGGCCCGCACCGTTTGCTCTTGCACAACGGCTTGTTTTATGAGCCTAAAAACACCGCCTCGCAAACACAAAACACTTGTGGGAGCAGGTCAGCGCGCGCCCAGGTGAGAGGGGAAGAGCCTGGGTTCCCTCTGCGGTCACCGCGGGGGCAGCCAGGAGGCTCCGCGCCCTCTGATGCGCGCGCAGGAGTGGAGGGACTGCTTGGTGCTTGTCCGGGGTCCCTGCTTCAGTGCGTCCCCAGGCACTGGGACTCCCGGCTCCGCCCCCCCCCCCCGGTGTTTGTTGGCATGGACGCTCGCTCAGGGCCAGTCTCTCCCAGCACAGTGGTGCCCTCGCTGCCGGCCGGCAGGGCTCACGTGAAGGCCTGGGGGGCGGGAGGGGTGTGACATACACACGTAGATGAGGGCTTCCTCCTTTCTTGCTTTATTCTTTTTTTAAAATATACTTTTTATTGATTTCAGAGAGGAAGGAAGAGAGAGACACATCCATGAGGAGAGAATCATGGATCCGCTGCCCCCTGCCCGCCCCCTACTGGGGATCGAGCCCACAATCTGGGCATGGAACCTGGGACCTTTCAGTTCGCAGGCCGACGCTCTGTCCACGGGGCCACACCGGCTAGGGCCCTTGCTTTATTCTTAAAGCAGTGTCTGCTGGGTATTAACCACAGGCGCTCCAGTTCACTCTTCAAGTCGCTGTCTAATCCTCCTCACTGGGCTCAGGCCTGCCTCCCTCCCTCCCTCCCAGGGCCAGCGCCCAGCGACGGGCGCCCAGTCATATACACGTTTTAACTGTGTGTTTGTGTTTCGAACTACAGGCCTCTATCGGCAGAGGCCACCCTTTCCACAGGCGGAAGGGGGGTCGCGGGGTCATGGAGGGGGAATATTTTTTAAAATCTATTTTATTGATTTTTTACAGAGAGGAAGGGAGAGGGATAGAGAGTTAGACACATCAATGAGAGAGAAACATCGATCAGCTGCCTCCTGCACACTCCCTACTGGGGATGTGACTGCAACCCAGGTACATGCCCTTGACCGGAATCGAACCTGGGACCCTTGAATCTGCAGGCCAACGCTCTATCCACTGAGCCACACCGGTCAGGGCGAATATTTTTAATTTTAATAGATATTCTGCCAGAGCACTTTCCAAAAAAGATGCAGCAGCTCGCAGTGGTGAATGCCGTCTCCCCGCGGCTCATACTGGCTGGTGCCCCCTTTTACAGTGCTGCTGTTCTGGGGGGGTTAGGGTAGTGTAAGGCAGTAGAGTCATTGTCTTTTAAATTTAAATGGCATGATTCTGACTTTTAAGGTCTTTTTACATCTCACCTATACTTAACTGTGAGCGAGTTCTCCCATGTTTGCCTTTGGGGGTTGGGTGGTGAGGCTGAACCTGCCCCCCGCGCAGAGGCCAGGGCTGGGGTCTGGAGACAGGCTTTTCAAGGCCCAGCGGCCTCTCCGGGCCCCCAGCGCTCCAGGACTCGCCCAAGGTCAAGGCGCCGCGGGTGCCGCGGGCTGGGCTGGAGCCAGACTGCGCCGCGGGCTCGCTTTCACTCTCTGCACCAAGATCGCCCCAGAGATGCCCGGGGCACCTTGAGAAAGGGCGCGGTTGGGAACCAGCTGGACGGCGCGGGAGGAGGGGGAGCAGTACCTGCAGCGGGAGCCCAGGACGCTCCCCCCGGCCCTTGCCGCTGTCCTCGCGGGGACTGGCGGGAGCCAAGATGCGGATAAGCCCGAGCTGCCTCGGAGCCTGGCGGCTCTCTGCCTCAGTTTCCCGCCCGGGGGCAGAGTTGGGGAGAACTCCAGGATGTCCAAATGTCTGCGGTTCCGGCTTCGGGGCCCGGGGCGGGCGACGGGCCGGGTAGGCGGGATGCGGGGTCCAGGGAGGGAATTTTCCGGGTGGGAGGCCTGGCGGGGAGGGGGTGGGGGGTGGTTTGGAGCTGCGGGCGGCGGACAAAGCGGCGACACCACCCCGCGGCGCGGGCCAATGGAATGAATGGGCTATAAATAGCAACCAATGGGCGGCCCGCGTTGCGCCCCTTAAGAGCCGCGGGAGCGCGGATCTGCCGCTGTTCGCCTGCGACGCTCCCGGAGCTGTGGAAGCATCGATCTCCCTGCTGCCGGGTGAGCGGGCCCTCGGGCCCGGGACGGACGCGCTGGGGCGGGGCGGGGGCCGCTGCATCCTGTGCTCCGGGCGCGACGAAGACCCCCAGGCTGGAGCCCGAGCGCCTGGGGCGGCACGGACGCCCCCGAGCGCGCACAGCGGCCCCGCTGACCTTGGCCACATCCGGGGGCTGGGGCTGGGGACCAGGGCGCCGGGTGGCTTGCAGGTCCTTGGGAGGCTGGTGCCCCGATCCGCTCTGATGCACCGTTTCCCGCAGCCCGCCGCCGCCATGCCCTTCTCCAACAGCCACAACGCGCGGAAGCTGCGCTTCCCCGCGGAGGACGAGTACCCCGACCTCAGTGGCCACAACAACCACATGGCCAAGGTGCTGACCCCCGAGCTGTACGCCGAACTGCGCGCCAAGAGCACGCCGAGCGGCTTCACGTTGGACGACGTCATCCAGACCGGAGTGGACAACCCGGGTACGCGCAGCCGGTCCCGGGGCGGGGGTCGGCGCGTTCCCAGCAGGGCATCCCGGGGGGGGGGAGCGGGGTCCCCCGCCCGCCCCGCGCGGAGCTGCTGGCTGTTCGGCCGCCGGCTTGGGCGGGCAGTGACGTCACTGCCCCGGTTTGGCGCCCTCCCCCAGGCCACCCCTACATCATGACCGTGGGCACCGTGGCGGGCGACGAGGAGTCGTACGAAGTGTTCAAGGAGCTCTTCGACCCCATCATCGAGGACCGGCACGGCGGCTACAAGCCCGGTGACGAGCACAAGACCGACCTCAACCCCGACAACCTGCAGGTGCGGGGCGGCGGGGCGGCGGGGCGGCCGGGCGGGGAGGCAGGTCCCGGCGGCGCTCACCTAGGCTCGGCCCGCAGGGCGGCGACGATCTGGACCCCAAGTACGTGCTGAGCTCGCGGGTGCGCACGGGCCGCAGCATCCGCGGCTTCTGCCTGCCCCCGCACTGCAGCCGCGGGGAGCGCCGCGCCGTCGAGAAGCTCGCGGTGGAAGGTAGGGGCCCCGCCCGCCCCTCCGCGTCCCGGCCGCGCCCGCCCTGTTTACTCGTCATCCGAGCCGCCCTGCTCTTATCTGCACGCGC